TACGTGTTGCTCCAGCTGTATGAACACAGATGCGTAAATGCTGCTGCAAATATGCTTTTTTCAATTAGCAGACCAGGTAATATACACAGCGATATGGATTAAAACAGCATTCACTTATCTTAGATGTGGATTTCAGATGTTCTGAAACACGCTGCAACAGTTTGATTTGCGAGCAGCGATGCTTAATTTGCTCCGGAGCAAGCTGAAAAGCTGCTGAATAATACTGAATAGAGTTTATATAGGAATGCCGCGATAGGTGTCGTATTCCTATAGGTAGATGTGATCAGCTGAGAATCAGCTGATGCAAGCTTGACTCACATGACCTGCCAGAACTAATGCTAATCCTTAATTTAATTCCGGATTGTTCTCGCTGCCAGAATGGTACTTTAATGTACACATAGGCTCCATTAAAAATAAATATATAACAACTTAATTAAAACATGACACTTTATAAGTTGTGTACCATTAGGCTAGACTCCCATGTGTTCATACTGAATTGTGAGTTGGTGTTAACATTATTGGATTGCTTTGGCTTTACATTGAAATGTCATTTAATCTGCATACACCATTGAGCCTGAGCAACAAAATGCTTTCTTTGTGTCCAGATTTGACTAACGCAAAAACGTACACTTCAAATCAACATACAATGGTATTACAGATGATAAATGGTGAATAAGTTCCCAATAAGTTAGAGATAATAAATATTTAGTATGTCTTTAATGATGTCTAAATATATATCCAAATTAAAGTAACTAATTATGTGGGAATCCAACGTTCCCAGCCACTAGGGAACACACAGCCATGTTTATATGTTTATATATAGAGCTAAACAGCCATCTAGTGGTTATAAAATGGTATTACAGATGATAAATGGTGAATAAGTTCCCAATAAGTTAGAGATAATAAATATTTTAGTAATATTTAGTAAAATCCCCTTGAATTACAACATGTTAAAGTAAAAAAAGATATATATTAGTGTGGGTTCAATTATTATTGAACTAAATTGTAGTTCGTCCCTGATCAGTAGACAGGTGAAATTATACATGCTCAGATAAGAGTAAATGGAGAGTCAGCGAGAGCCTCATTTGATTGGCTAAAAAAAGGTGGTGGACCCGCCCTCCCCCTCACACTTGCAAAACTCAGTTAGTGAGAGAATCATGCCAAAATTGTAAGCGCAGAGAAAAGAAAGACGTAGCTGTACATATCGGTTTATTTCGGGAACTTTTTGCCCCACATGCACAACAAGTCATTTAGACATTTGCAACAGTTCGTTTTTTTACACATACAAATTGGTTCTATGCAGTCAATCCGTTTTGCAGTTCTTGAAACTGTTGTTTTCGCTTGCAAATCACTGTTCACAGGCTTGCAGTACTTTTGACCGTATTTTAGCGAAAACAACGTGCCAAAAGTGTAAGCGCGGAAAAATTGACTTTTTCTTCTGAAAAAGTCAGAAGAATGCAGATCATATTTATTTTGCGTTAGCATGAAGCTGCAGTTTCACAATACTTCACAATCACAATCATGTTTTCTTATGCTTGAAACGCGATTTACACCTTTACAAAGCTTAATTTACGCTTACAGTCTTATGTACACTTCCACAACTCTTACCCTGCGTATGCAAATCTGTTAAATAATTAACATTAATTAAATTACCTTCATACAAAGTCCTTTTAAGACAAGTCATGTCACTCGGCAGCCATCTTTGAAACGCCTATCGTGCCTGCAAGTGCAGCTCCTATCTCTTTGAATGGGGAAACATCAAATTATCCAAAACTGTTAACTAAGCTTACAATTAAATTTCATATTTGAAATCACCAAAGAAATCTGACAACAACTGTGTCATAAATGCTGTTACTTTTGCTCAAATAGCATTATAAAAAGGTTATTTTTGAGGCTAGATCAGCCAGTGCGCATGCGCAGTCCTAAGCGCACGTCTCAGAACGCTGACTGTTTCTATAGCAACAGGGACTTCTAACGGCAGCTGCAGTGACGCGCTGACTTTACCGATTAGCGATTGCCTCTTTCATTCAGAAGGCGGGGCTTCCTGCAATTGAGCGGCCATATTGAGCGTTGCATTTTTCCACATTCAAAACTATACGAGTGACACGTCTTGGGTATTCTATAGTCTTTGCTAATACTTCTTATGAAATTGATTTCATTATAATTGCTATTAGTATTATAAATAGTGCAAAATACTTATTTGTATATTCAAATATGTGTTGGCCTTTGTAAAATACGGGACAAATTGCATCCAGTATTGATTTGATATGGGATGCATCATTTTACCTTTAAATACGGGACGATTCCGTATTTTAAGGGACAGGTGGCAACCCTAAATTCACCACTCACCTCCACACCAAGACAAACACAGTGGAAAAAGAGGGCGGGCTTCACTTCTGTGGCTCTAGGGGCTACATTTACATGCAACCAAATAATCCATTTGTAATCGGATTGACGGCTCAGTCGGACTGAAAAACCTACATGTAAACACCTTAATCGATCCGATTGAGCTCGATCGGAATGAAATTTCGATCGGATTGAAGGGGGTGGTTTATTCCTTTTCTAATATGATTGAGAGTGCATGTAAACACTCGATCGGATTGAACCCCGAAACTGAAAGAACTGCGCAATGGGCAATGACGCAGGAATAGCGTAATGACGTGGCAGTGTTGCCAAACCCCTCCCTCAGAAAATCTCTAGAACCACCCTCAAAAGTCTCTATTTTTCACAAAAAGTCGCCAAATATGAAAACAAAGTAAATACATGTACATTTGGTAAAGGTAAAGGAAAGTAAATATATATATATATATACTTTACAAATGATGACAGTATAAAAAATATAACAAAAGAT